TAGCTATCCCAAAGATTCAGTAAATACTAGTAAATTTCTATGTCTACATGACTAGCATTCATGTGCAGTGTGTAACAACCCATCGTTTATAGAATCGGTTAAAGTATTCTAAAAAACTAAAATGCTTTTAGCAGTAGGAAAATATTTTCCATATAGTAAACATAAACTATTTGTTTGTCATGATTGCTTTTGGGATTGGTATGCTCATAAAGGTTTTGGGGGAGTTATCCCTGATAAGAAGCCATCTAGCAATACTAGTATAGCTATTACTAAAATATCCAAACCTCTAAAAGAAAAGGTTCTTTCAGAACTGATTAAAGAAATACAACCTGGACAATGGCATGATAAAGGAGAAAAAATCCATGGTCCAGATCCTAATGTTGTATACTGGCTAAAAAATAAGCATTGGGAATCGATTAAAGATATTACCGAAAGTACTGCACTATCAATTCATGATCCTATTACAAGATCCTGAGTTTCTTATCTCAATGGAGGTGGTGGTTCTGAAAAGATAACGCATGCAATTCGAATCTTTAAGACATAAACATGGTAGTCTTTACTCATACAAATGCATTGGCTAAAGACTTTCAAAATGACTGTAAGGTAAAAGCCCAAACTTGGCATAGTTTCTTTAGATGGAATGGTGTAGAAGAGTGGACTCCTGAACACATGGGAGAAAAGAAATTTCCACGAGTTGTCATCTGGGATGAAGTATGTACAGTGCCTAGACATATTCTAGAGAAGTTTATTGACTACTTACTAGAGCAAAAATGTCAGATAATCTGTTGCGGGGATGATACTCAACCTCCATCATTCTTCGGTAAAATGCCTCATAACTGGTTAAAAGAGCGAGCTGATTACTATGAGGAAGTCTTAACTGACTATCAGGCCAAATGTCCTAGATTACAAGAGCTTAAGAAAAAAATGCGACTCCAAAATAACAGAGTGCAGTCAGACTTATTCCGTGAAGCACTTCCGAATACAGAAAAATAGAAATATCTTGAAGCTG